CTATCGAATCCCGATACAGGAGCAAAATTACCTTTTAAAGGTATAGCTTTTATTTTGCTGCAGTCAAAACATAGCATCTAGTACCAGCATTGTACATCACAAATGTTCCAGCAACGATTTATACTTACTGCCTTTTATTTGTAATAGATAAAATTTTATTTCCCCAAATTGCTGCAACTTGAAAGTTTCACTTGATCAGCATCGCCAGACAGGTGTATCGTCTGCTAAGATGTTTGTGTTATATTTGTAAAAGCTCTACTGGAGTTTCTTGCAGTAACCCACAGCTACTTCTTTTCTCAATTTCATAGGCAGCAATGAAAACAAAAAAAAACCTGTAAAAGGTACTAACAGATACGTCACTTTACACTGAAAATACGGGATAAAAATGCATTGTTAACTAAACCCATCCCATTGTTTTCTCTAATGTGCTTACAGGGTTTTTAAATCTTCTTCGGCTTCTGAAGCTGTTGGGTTGTTTTTTTTTCCTTGAACTCCTTTATTGTGCTAGCCAATCTTGTCAGACTCCATTGCAAGGATGTTTCAAAACAGAATTCCTGTTGCAAGGACCTCAGTTTCAGATGAGTTGCCTCTGCCCAGGGCATAGGCTACGTGCACAAAAGAGATTCATCTGGTTACAGGCTGGGTCTTAAATAAGGACTGCAAGATCCAAGCATAAGGTACTTCAAGTTGGTTTTAAGTATTTTGGTGTATTTTCTCAGGTGGGATAGGCAGGGACAGTAATCTGTATTGTGGAAGTAGACACCAGCCTTACGATCAATGCAAGAAGTTTTCATGGCGCTCTTTGCACTTGAAAGAAAAAAAAAATCAGTGGCATGGGAAAATACTAGCCGACCGAAACACCGGCAACGTGCAAGTGCTGCATTCTGCTGCGTAGGAGTGCAATATGATCATTCAAAATCTGTTTGTGATGTGCAACAGGAACTGTAAGAAGATTGGCAAATCTTCTGGTGGATGATTCATATGCAAATAACCACGCAGAGCCTTGTTCAAATCCACGTGGGGTGACCTCTGGCACATTCGGGTACCGCAGGGGTATCTTGCCACACGGTAGCGTAGGGTTGCCTTCGTGGAGACGCGGTGCCTCTGGCCTCCTGTCCGTAACTGAGTGGCTCCTGGTGCCAGGCGGGTATCGCCGGGCAGGCCATGGCAGCGCCACTCGGCAGGCGGGTAGGGAGCGGGGAGCCACGCCTCTGCTGCCGGTGGCCCTTGGGCAGGTGGCGGGAGGGAGCCGCTTCCCATCAAATCCTTCGCTCCCTCTCCACTGGGAAGGGCATCCCGTGGGACAGGCGGCCATGTGAGGCTGCGGCTCCGCCTCGGTAGCCACAGATTCTCTCCTCTGGCTTCAGAAGCGGAAGAACGTTTATGGCTTTGGTTGTTTCTTTAGTCAATAACAAATCAACATTTTAATAATATTACAGCTTTTAAGAGGAAAAGCCCTCTTAACTGTTTGACGAAGTAAGTTTTATCAGCTTCTCGGATGAGCTGCATTTCGTATTGCTCCTGCGATTTCACAGCTTTTACAAACAATTGCTCTGAATTTTCTTTAGGAATGTAGCACAAGAGTTTAATTGCATCATGATGTTAAAACCCTTTATCACATCTTAAATTGTTTGCTATCTGATACAACAACAAAAAAAAAAAAAAGCTCACATTTTTGTTAACGTTGCCAAACCCTAACGCTAGAGCTAAGAAGTGTTTAATTAAATCAAGAGATCAATATTAAAGAGAAAAAAAAAATCATTGTTTCCAGTCACCTATGTTTTTAGGAGGTTTTTTGGGGTACATTTTATTACAATGAATACAGAACTTGCAAAGAGCAGACATTTCTTGCAGGGAGTAGTGAAACCTAATTCTCACGGGATGCTTGTTTCCCAGTAAAATACCACTAATTCAAGCCAAGTTCCCAAGTTTCTTTCTGTCAGAACAATGCAAATGACATTTTCAAGGAAGAATGGAAGCCCTGGTATCACAGGGATTTTATAAGACAGACAAAGTCTCTTGCACTTGTGAATGTAAAAATGACATCTAGCTAAATATGATGATGCAGTCTCAAATGTTACCAGCCTACTGATCTAGGATGAAAAAACTTGAACTAAACATTTCTCTTCTTTTTTACATTCTGATTTCTTTTTTCTGTCTCCTTTGAAAATAAGAGGTTGAATTCACAGTGTTTGTATAGAGAGTGGTAGGAACCTACGTGCTTTAAAAAACAAACAAAAAGTCATCCTCGAAGATTGAATGTAAACACAGTTAATTTGAAATATAGTTTTGCCTTAATGGTTTTAAAAAAAAAATAAAGTATTTTTAAAAGTGAATTTTATGACTTGTGCTGATCTTTTATTTCCAGGAAAAGTAATTCACTGTAACGTCACGGCTTTAAAACGGAGTTGTTACCCTCTGCTGGCTGCCTCTCGTACGTTACCCAAAGCAGCTGGCAAGTCTTGACCCAGTCCCTCATTCAGGGCCCATGCCCACGTGAATAACGTCCGTGGACATGAAAGTAGCCCTGTCCTGTGCTCCCCTACTTACGGTCTCAGCTGAGAGCTGTGTCAATGTTTGCAGAATCAGGACCTGGGGAGCGCAGGGCAGCGGCGTGAACCTGTGCTTTGTGCTGCTCTGCTGCAATTAAGAACTTGAATGATTTTTGCCTTAACTTGGTGTACAAAGCCCTGCTTCAGGAAACACTTTGCTGCGTAACATTATACCGGGGAGTAATCACAGTGATTTTTTTAGTGGCGAACAAGAGTGGGTAAGCAACCTTTGCTGGGATTGGTGCCCAGATTTTTTGGGGTTAGCATCAACTATCTGTTAGCAAATTGTATTACACATGCTTACTACATCATCAAATGTGTGTATTGTAAGGAGATTTTTAAAGGCGGAATGATATTGGAAGCATCTTTAAAAGTGCGGGTGCTTACAGTTTGCTGTTAGACACATCTTTTAAATTAGGAATGTGTGTGTTACATACATATATACACATCACATGTATGTTTATATATATATATATATCATCAGTTTGTTGCCTGACTCGCCTTCCTGCTGTGTCGCTCCATTCTCACTGACTGCGTGACCACCAGCTTGAGACATTTGTTGAATTCAACAAGCATTGAATGTGCACTTCTAGGGGAAGTGTAGCATACCAGCTAATTTGATAGGCATGGCCTCAGTTAAATCGGTTGGGAGGATATGTCACAGATAATGGGTTTTTCCTTCAAAAATCTGGGGATTTATTAAGCTGGTAGAAGAGTGCTGAAGCGAAAATTACAGCAGAGGATAAAGAATCACACTTCATCAGCTGTGCTCGGGAGTGTCGCAGGCCTGATGCCGAGCAGCAGAAAGTACTTGGGAGAACCTGATGAAACCAAACCGCAAAGGCGGTGCGTGCGTATCTTGAAGAGCAGGCCTCACGGCTGGCCAGTTTGGGCATGATGGCATTCGGCCTGTGAAACCACAGGCGTACCTAAACACGATGATACAGAGGTCGTAATGCGCCTGTTCAGTGGGACTATGAGAGTGTGGCAGACGTCAGTTTTAACAGCTGGGCCCAGAGAGCAATCCTTTGTCATTCCAGGAGACACCAAATTGCATGTAGGTCAGCCTTCTTCCCCCAAAGCAAGGAGCAGAGGTGACAGAACACACTGAAAGGCACAGTCTCATTTAGGATAGGAACTGCAATAGCCAGGCTTTTAAAACCTACTTTCAAGCTAAGAGTTAAGATACAACCTGTTGCAAACATTTTGAAATACAGGAAATAAAATGTTTTAGAAAGACGTTTGCTAGTATAAACATAATATGTGATCTCACATAACATTGCTTTTTATCAGCTTGAGTGTAAGACTACAATTTTAAGATGGAAAAGTGCTGTGAGGCTCTTTCTAGTATCTCTCATTCTGTTTCCAGTTGCAGGTTTAGCACAGGGTATGCCTCCATTATTGGTACAGAGCAGACAGGTACACTGTAACTTCTAAAGCCAGTGTGTCTGACAGGAAACTGAAACTTAATACCACCCATTTTAAATAAGTTTAATAGCACTTTCTTGGCAAGCGTAGTCTCGTTAATGCAAAAAGGACTCTTAAATGTTGACTTCTAACAGGTATCTTTTTTCCCACAATTATAGATGTGTTCGTATTTTATGTCTTAAAGTAGCTAGAGCTTGAAAATGGTACTAACAACAGGTCCATTATTGCTCCTCTAGTAACTGTAAGAAATTCCAGTCCTCAACATAGGACACCACTAGGTTCAGATTAAAAAAAAAAAAAAAAAAAAAAAAAAAAAAGGAAAGATTTCAGGACACTCAAATGTCCTAAAGAACTAAAACTAACTTAGTGAAATAATGATGTTGATTTCTTTTAACAGACACATGATCAAGCTTAGATGTTGACATATGACATGATACGGATGGAAGCATCAAGAAAAAGAGGCATTAACAGGTTCTGTACCAAGGACCAACAAAAGCTTTAGTAACTAGTAGGATTTGGTGATTAGGGAGCATTCTAGGCATATCCTTAAGGTGTGTGACCAAGTGGTTTTACATAAATGCCACCTAAATCGTTCTTGTAATTAAGACAAAGTCCAGTTCTGGGCTCCCCAGTTCAAGAAAGATGAGGAACTCCTAGAAAGAGTCCAGAGGAGAGCAACTAGCATGACAAAGGGACTGGAGCATCTCCCCTATGAGGAAAGGCTGAGAGAGTTGGGCTTGTTCAGCCTGAAGAAGAGAAGACTGAGAGGAGACCTCATCAACACATACAAGTATCTTAAGGGTGGATGGCATGAGGACAGAGCCAGACTCTTCGCAGTGGTGCCCAGCAACAGGACAGGGGGCAATGGGCACAAACTGAAACATATGAGGTTTCAGTTGAATATGAGGAAAAACTTCTTCACTTTGAGGGTGACAGAGCACTGGAACAGGCTGCCCGGGGCCGGGGGGGGGCAAGCCTGCTTGGACGAAGTCCTGTACAACATGCTCTAGGAGAACCTGCTTTAGCAGGAGGGTTGGACTAGATGATCTCCCAAGGTCCCTTCCAACCCTTGCGATTCTGTGATTCTGTGAATTTTTGAGCTGAACAAACTGCTGTTTCCCTAATAATTTTTTTACCCTCTTTTGGCTGAAACTGTGTTTCTGAAATCCCTATTCTGGCTGCAGTTTAATTGCCCAGTTCAGGAAAGCACTGATCTTATTAACTGAACATTTCTATTTCCATATTAACTGATGTGAAAGTGAAAAGGAAGTCCTCTTTACTTGTAAAGCATAAACTGGACCTATTAAAGGTCCTCTCCTATTGCTATATTGATTTGGACTGGAAGGTGGAGGGGAAAGTGACTGCAAGCACAAGTGACTTGTAAGTTATCTTTTATTATAAGAGCACCTACTTTCATCAGTCTTAATGCTGTGATAGCATTGAGATTATAATCTTGAAGAATCTAGCTATTTCTATGGGTACCTGTGACATTTTTGCATAACAGTTTTATTTCAGACTTAAAGCTTTGAATTCCTTGCCTACTGCAATCTTATCAGGACAGCACTGTCAAGTTAACAATTGGTGCATACTGACTTTCTTGGATGTATACTGAATTAAGCCAGATAAATCTGTCTTGGATTTTCATAACACTGTAGGAGTGTCAAGAACAACACTGAACAGTAAAATAACAAATGTGAATATTTGGACACGGTTCCTATGCTATACGCTGTTTAGGTTTTTTACTACATGCGTTTTACGTGGTGACAACAGGCTTGTCTGCCTTTCTTTCTGGCTCTTCAACACCTTAAGGCCATACTTGCTGGCACGGCAATCGCTGCGTGATGATGTTTGAAGCCAAGCCAAGTGTAAAGAAATGTGTTACTGTGTTCTGTAGTAGCGAGCTGATGAAGGTCACTTCTTTAAAAGGAGCAACACGATAGTCTCCAAAAGGAAAGAGGAGAAACCCCAGCCACGGAATGGTCTCTCTTAGTCCTTCAGTATTTATGTTCGTGTATCCGTTTTTTTACAGGGGAGGGATTTTTGTTGGGGCTTCCTTTTATCCATATCTTCTTGTATTTCCAAAGGAAAGGCCTTTAGGTTTTCATTCACACAGGGGAGGCAGAACCTTTTGGAGTAAAACAGACTACATTCCTGTAAAGAAAATAACATTATTAGCAGGATACACAAAATGGAACTGCTTAACTTCCAGTCTCATTAAACCCCATTCAGATTTAGAATCCTTCTAAATTAAATTATTCTTCTAGGTTGAAATATTCCAGCAATTTTGCTTCTTCCTATTCAATAATTCTAACATCCGGTTAGAGCTGACTGGGTGAAAAACAAAAACTGGGTGTGTAACAATCACCAACCAAATTATGTTGCTCCTTTTAAAGGAGTGACCTTCATCAGCTCACTGCTACGGAGAATAGTGACACATTTCCTTACAACTGGCTTGTCCTTCAAACATCATTCATGTTTTTTCTGGCGTGATCACTAAATTCCAAACAGGATTTAATGGGTAGGCTGGAGCTGGTGTTGCTGATGGATTATTCTTGGAGAGTTACACATGAATAAAGGCATCAGTACAGATGGATCAGGACATTTTTCTGGAAGTAATGGATTCCATGGGTTTTACCTAAAAAGCGAAGTTTTCCTCTGCAGCTAAATCTTAGCTTATGAAGATTTCTCCCTCCTGGGAGGATCTTGAATGTTCCTGCACTGGTACGTGAGACCTGAAGTGTCATAAAGCTCTTCCTTGCCAATCTCCACAAAAACGGCCTAAAGGCCAACACAAGTACAAAGAACAGAGGCCAGGGGCTGTAGGCTCTCACATACTTCAGCTGCATCTTTTTCGTAGCTCGCCAAAAAACCCTACTCTTTTTCTATTTGTGTGCTTGTATTGCCCTAGCAGAATACTAACAAGTATAATTATTATATCAATATCACAGAGGTGTCCAATAACCAGAATATCTAAATGTATTTAATTTGGCTGAGACAACTCAACTGAGGTTTCATCTGCTACCCACCTTCACCATGAATAAATGTACTCACTGATTAAAAACTAGAAACGTACATGGTACTAAAGCTCAAGCTGATGTCTCTTCTCTGAAGTCTTGATGGCAAAGTATAAAAGCTGTTGTGCACGAAGAAGGTATTTTCCCTGCCCTTGAAATGGAATGATACCATGATCTGACATGCTTCGGTCACAGTTGGTTTGGTTAGCGAGTGTTACAGACCCAATAGTTATTTTTCAACGAGTCAGCTCTAACCAGATGTTAGTTATTGAAAAGGAAGAAGCAAACCTGATGGGAGTATTTTAATCTATTTGCAGTACAGAGTTTGGACAACTGGAAGAGAAGCTTCTTAATGTATTTATTATTCCTTTGCCCTGCGGTGAGACTGAAGTCCATGGTTCTCTTGGCGTGCTGATCACTAAATTCCAAATAGGATTTAATGGGTAAGCTGGAGCTGGTGTTGCTGATGGATTATTCTTGGGGATTTAAGCATGAATAAAGACATCAGTTTAGATGAATCAGGACATCTTTTGGGGAGTAATGGATTCCATGTGTTTTACCTAAATAGCAAAGAAAGCTTTCCTCTTGCCATGGTCATTTGCGGCTGGCTTTTCTCTGGGGACTTGGCTTGGATATTTCTGTGTTTCTGTTCCTGCTTTTGTTTCCCATGTCGCTCTCTGGACTTCAGCAGTAGATTCAGCAGATGATTATATCAAAATCACAATCAGCCTGCTTCTGTGCGACTTTCAAGCCCGAGGAACAGCTTCTCTTCATCTATTGTCCTTTTCTGCACTGACTGCCAGGCGCCTTCGTATTCAGAGCTAGTGTGAGGCCTCGGTCTCTGAAAAGCCCTGAAACTGGATTTCAGTTGCACAACCTCTGGAGCCTATTGTTTTTTGTCTCCTGGTATCCTTAATACTTTAAGCTGCCAATTAAAAAGGGAAGATTAGCGTTTAAGTTGGCCCTGCTATTCTTGTTTGTATTGCGAAATGGCACACAGCTCCCCCCCCTGCCCCTGCCTCCAGGTTAAGTTCAGGGCTCCACAGCGATGGACGCTGCACCACTGGGCAATGGCAAAGGAGGGGAGAGGCTTTTCCCCCGTTCTGAAGCTGGGGAACTCGGATCTTAAGACGCAGCTCCTCACAGATAGACAGGTCCTCAACTTGCATTCTTTCAGCTGAAATGAGTTGCCAACTTCTGCCGATTTTGGCCAATGGGCCTTAGGCAAATCATGAGTATGAACTGGGTGCTGGGTCCACATACCCTTAGTCCTCCTCTCTCAGTCGTGGGATTATTCAGCCTAGCTGTTGTTTTAAAGCCCTGTGAATTACACTTATTATGTATAGTCAAGCCCTTCTTTGACCATTACCCTGATAGGGTTCTGTGTTTAATCGGATAATTCTTCAATACGTTTCACCCCTTCCATGACCAAGGCAGGAGCGGGCCATTTCAATTTCAAACTTACCAGTCCAATTCGGGCAAAACTGAGCTGCCAAAGCATGCTGCCAGGGTTTATTTCTGTTTTGACATGGATCATGTCTGAAAGTAATATATACAGGGATAGTATCTTTACCACACTTGTAAAGGAAACTCTATGTAAAAGAAAGGTTCTGCCAAACCGTGTCCAGGATTGACCCCGCATGACTGGAAGTTGAGTGGAAAGTAGCTGTAGCATTACGTTTATCACTTCATACCTCCAATCATATCCAAGGTCAGCGTTTTGCTCACCTCAGCAGAAGGTGACTATAAGGAATGAAACTTGCTCCCTCTCCTCCTTTCTTCTCCAAAACCCACCTCTTTAGAAAGACTTCAGTAAGTCTTGCAATAAAAAAGAAGTAACTGTTTTAAATTACTAATATGGTCAGGTTACATAACTTCCTTTCCCCTTTTCTGAAAGGGAAACAGGAAGAAAGGCACTCGACCTTCCTAAGGACTTTTAAAAGCATTTTTATTATCTTCCTTTTTTGGGGGTTTTGACATGTTTTAAGACATTACAGATAATTATTAGAATTATTTCCGGTTGGACCGGAAGTAATGGCACTTACCAATAAATACACTGTGCTAAAGATTGGTTCAATAGGGTGAGGTACGCTGCAAGCTGACTGTAGTAAACTGAGTGAGACTTAAGAGAGTATCTCAAGAAGTGATTTTATGAGAATAGTTGCTAAGTCTTGGCTTTTGTTGGCACAGTAAGTGTAAGGAAAGACACTTCAGCTAGCATGGTTTGTCTCATGAAAAGCCTAAAGTCTGCTCTGTATCCAAGCCTCCTTATATACAAAAGCCAGCAAATTAAATCCAGTCCCTTTGCCAAATCTAAGGTCAGAAAATTCTTAATTTTGCCACATTTAGTTTAGTACTATTTGCCAGAGTTAGTTTAGTACTATTTTGAATTAACATAAAAATGAAAGCAACCTGTCACTGAAAACTTTCCATCAAATTGGTCCAGCTTCTTTGCCAAAGAAGCCCAAGAAAGCATGATTTTCTTCAGCTTCAATTCTTACAACATTATGGAAACACTCAGCATGGGGCTGAGTTGATCTGCTTGGGTCAAGCACAAGCAGGAACCAAAACCAATCCACAGAGATATTATCCTAACTTTGGCTCTCTCTACTGCCTTGGATGAGTTTTTACTTCTC